CCATGTTGCATCATTAGCCAATTCAGCCCAAGAGTCATAATCACTGGGTTGTCCTCTATGATAAACCATATAATTTAAGGAGCTGGTGCCACCTAACATTTTTCCGAAAGTTATTTCACGAGAAGATGTAAGACGATACGAATCTTCAAACCCATCAAGCTCAGCTGTATAGTTCCAGTTGTAACGAGATCTTTGCATTAAAAGTGGTACGGCAGGTAGCTGGAATGTAAAAATATAAATATTTTAATACCATTCATATTTAAAATATATACTGAACGAAGCAAGTGAGCTACTATATAAACATTGAATTTCGTAACAAGGGAATCAAGGATATAGGGTCAAATATAAAGAAGTACTCACATCTGATTCATAAGGTGGATTGCCGCCGGCTTCAATGAGCAGAACATTGATATGTTCGATTTCTGAAAGTCTGTTGGCAATGACACTTCCTGCTGTACCACCGCCGACAACTATGAAGTCGTAACTATCGCCATCTGTAATTACATCGAATTAATCCTGATTAATAAATTAAATAATATCATCAAAAATAAACTCGATGAAATTCTCTAAAGAGGACCTTTTGTCATTTTGTAAAAGACTTAATTTCAGCACAATCTCAAACAGTCAAACACCATGCTGCTACTAAAAAATTATATAGCAAAATCCCAATCTTACTTAATGCTACTTCAATTTTGTTCTTATTGTAATAAATTATAAAATGTATACAATGTTTTTAATACTACATTATTATGTACGTTACGATTAGTAGGGATTAACACATTTTGAAATACTCACCATGAACAACAGCTTGGTGTGGCCATAAGTAGTCGTAGAGATGCAAAAATGCCACTAATCTCAATGCATTTTGCAAATCTTTCATTACTTTAAAAGCAATAGCAGCATTCATTGTTCCTTATACGAAAAGAACACCCTTAAATAATAATACTTAATCAAAAATTACGAGTATATTTATATTGCAACAAACGCTTGCAACCAAACGCATAACTAACTGAAAATAATTCAAAAATTATTTCTTAACTTTTATAAAGAGTCAAGTTTATGTAAAAAGAAACAAAAGTACCCTGGTACTAAGATTACATATTAATCAGGTAATTACTTCACAAAAAAGCTATTTTGCCTCACGATTGTTTTCCAAAATGTGTAAAAAATATATATTTTAATAAAAATATTTAATTACACCGTGAGTGATCCACGCTTGAGCGCGAATGAACTGGCTGAACTCATTGTCGTTAACATGGGGGGATTGGACCTCTGTTAACCCTAATAGAGCTAAGCTCTGGTGTAGCTCGTATCCTAGGGTGGGTCCGATTGCTTGCCATCCGGTGATAAGTAATCTAGTTTGCTGACCAATCTCATAAAATTTGCATTTAACTCGTCGAGTACCGGTTTTATAGACACAATTAAAGAACAATAGGTCGCGGTCACCGGTGACCGCTTGGTATTTGACAGATTAATTAAACAAAGAGTCTACCAGTTTCTAAAACATAATTATTTAACCCAAGCTCATTTATTAATTTTACAATTCGTGATTTTTAGTAGACAAGCACTATTACTACACTATCATCGATATCCTTTTACAAATGAAAGATTAATTATTCATTTTAGTGATGTAAAAATGTCGTCAAAAATAAAACAATGTTTGCTAATTAAAATTATATATTTTAGTTTATAATAAATTATGGTCCTGTTTTATCAAATCGGATACTTTTTCCCCAATCATTATAACTGCAGCCATTGGATTCCCTCTTGTAATTGTTGGCATCACACTAGCATCAGCTATACGCAGATCTTTCACACCATGAACTCTTAATCTACTATCAACAACAGTGCCCATGGGGCATGTACTAGTTATCTGACTCGTTCCAGATGACATACACATAATATAACAACGCCAAAATTCTCTAGTTTCTTTTCTATACTTATTACACTTAGGAGCTGCATCTGCCATCACTGCGTCAATTTCAGTGTAATAGGTCGTTTCCATGACACGTAAAAAGTCCAAAATGTAATCAATGTGATTTTCAATGTCATCTTTATTTGAATAAAATTCATTCCTAATAATTGGAGGGTCTTCTGGGTCTGTACTCTTTAATAGCACTTTCCCTCGTGACTTTGGATTAATATTAATTATTTCATTATACGCTTGAGCTCGATTTACACCTTGTTTATAAATTTTATTGCAAACTTCGTCGCTAAATCTAAATGCAAATGTGCAGTAATATAGAACAGGTCCTGGTAAAGTTACATAAGTAATTTGCTGGTAATCTGGAATTTTTAAAGATTCATTCAATGAAATAAAACCTGTGAATGAGAATCCTGTTAGTTCATAAGGAGTTGGAGGTGGTAATGGTCCGATATCTACATTATGGACTATAATAACTTGAACATGTTCCTGTAGGTTCTCACCTACAGGTAAATTTGAAACCACCTCAATGTTTTTACATTTCAAATCATCCTTTGGCCCCACACCAGACAACATAAGGAGTTTTGGTGTATTGATTACCCCAGCGGACATAATGACTTCTTTCTTAGCTTTCAGTGTGATCGTTTTACGATCTTCAGTAAGGACTTTCACACCGAAGGCCTTTTTATTATCGTCAAACAAAATTTTAGTTACTAGTGTATTTTTTAATACATGAAGGTTATGCCGATTTTTGACAGGAGATAAGAATGCATAAGCTGAACTTTGGCGAGATGTACCAGCAAGCGTGAACATTTGCGCAGAAAATCCTAAAAGATTGTTTTCATTGAAGTCAAGAACCACATCATGTCCAACTTCTCGGTAGGCATCTAGGAATTCATCTATTCCTTTTCGGTGATCTTTTGTTAATTGGAGTAATCCATCAGTTCCGTAATATTTTTTGTTTACAGACTGTAGAATTTGTGCGTCATTCAGTTTGATGGATTTTATAAAATATGGTAGAACATTTTCCCATTTCCATGTTGTATCATTAGCTATTTCAGCCCAAGAGTCATAATCACTGGGTTGTCCTCTATGATAAACCATGTAACTCAATGAGCTGCTTCCACCCAGCATTTTTCCCAATGTTAATTCATAAGAAGGCGTGCGACGACAAGAGTTTTCAAATTCATCGACCTCTGCTGTATAGTTCCAATCGTAGTAAGATCGTTGCATTATAAGTGGTACGGCAGGTAGCTGAAATGTATAAATATAAGTATATGTATTTGAATGAGGCATTTCCTTATAACATAAAAATATTCTGATCAATTGATACAGTACCTAATAATGTACAAATAACTATAAGAACAATGTCTTTCAAAAAACATGAAAATTATCGCCATGACTTGGTATGTTCCGATTTATGAAATTCATTAACAAATAGTTTTTTGCCAAATATTTCAGACAATAGTGAGACAAAGTAGGGGCGAATTTCGAAGACAAAGACTAAGATTATTTATTTGCAAAAACACGTGTGAAATGACAATACATCATAGAATGAATATTATATGTTGTGCAGATGATCAGTGAGCATAGTAGAAACATGTTTGACCATATCTGGTGTAGAAATATGAAATATAATATTGTTATCTAATTATAATTTAACTTTCAATTGAGACATTTCTATTGGACACCTACTCTTTACGGTTATGTGTGTTTAGGATTTATAAGTAACTAGCTTCTGCCCGCGACTTCGTACGCGCAATCCCGATATTTCCCGTTCCCGTTCTTGATTTTCGGTAAAACGTAAAAAAAAAGAATTGGGTAAAAAGTATCCTATGTCCGTTTCCTGGTTCTAATCTACCTCCCCACCAATTTTCATCCAAATCGATTTAGCCATTCTTGAGTTATAAATAGTGTAACTAACACGACTTTCTTTTATATATATAGATATAAACTTACATCTGATTCAAAAGGAGCATCATCACCAGCTTCGATGAGCAGAACATTGATGTGCTCGATTTCTGTGAGTCTGTTGGCAATGACGCAACCTGCTGTACCACCGCCAACTATTATAAAGTCATAATAAGCGCCATCTGAAAAAACATATTTTGTCATATTATTATGTGAGTATATTATTGAGTCAAAGTTAGAGTACACAACTTGGATGTGTTGATTGCGCATTCGAAAGTCAGCCATCGCATAGACCGTGCACTTTCTGTTACTCGAAATATTATTTATCAAACTGACACATCGTACTTATTCTAGTCTCATGAATGAAAGAAACATTTATGAATAAGTGTACTTAACTTGTAATTGCATTTAGTATTTCTTTATAAAACCACTATTCTAATTTCTGTTTCTTACGAGTCACAAACAATATCGAAATGTAAATCACAAAACTTGTCAAAAAATACTCACCACGAACAATGGTTTGATGTGGCCACAAGTATTCGGTGAGATGCAACAATGCCAATGCTCGGAACCCATATTGCACTACTTCTGATAGGTTGTATGCGCGCGCAGCATTCATGGTCTAATACTTTTAATTAATTTCCGTTATAACATATACTTTAAATCAAATATTTCTATCACAACAATACCTTTACGTACGTCTTAACATTATAACAATAAAACTTATAAAAACACTTCTACAGTTTGTTCGTAATTTATATAAGGAAGCCAGTCAATATAAAAAACTTTAAGTAGGTACACAGTATACAAAAATTTAGACTAAATTAAATCAGTGAATTATTTATCATCACAATGATTTAATGAATGTAAAAAAATCACCACTTTAATGAACTTATGTTTATTTCGAATGAAATAGGTACTACTGTAGATAGTTTTAATTATGCAAAAGATTATAAACCGGTTACATTAAGTTTGTCATGCATCGTAGCAAAACATCCGTGAATGTTTCTTCGTAGCAATGTGGAGACTATTTACCAAATTCTAGAGTTACACGAATACCATGCATGGGATGAAACTATGTTAACATGGAATAGAACCTTTTTAATACTTGTGATAACAACAAAAATGAAAACAATGTTTGTTAAATAAAACTATTTATTTTGATCTAAATCAATTTATGGTCCTGTTTTATCAAATCGGATACTTTTTCGCCAATCATTATAACTGCAGCCATTGGATTTCCTCTCGTTATTGTTGGCATCACACTAGCATCAGCTATACGCAGACCTTTTACACCATGAACTCTTAATCTACTATCAACAACAGTGCCCATGGGGCATGTACTAGTTAGATGACTAATTCCAGTTGACATACACATAATATAACAACGCCAGAATTCTCTAGTATCTTGCCCATACGTATTACAGTGAGGAGCTGCATCTGCCATCACTGCATCGACTTTGGTATAATACGTCGTTTCCATTACGCGCATAAAGTCTAAAATGTGGTCAATGAGACTTTCAACGTCGTCTTTGTTTGAATAGAATCCATACTTAATAATAGGAGGGTCTTCAGGATTAGCACTTTTCAAGAGGACTTTACCTCGAGACTTTGGATTGAGGTTGACTATTTCAGTAAACGACTGAAGTCTGTTTGATACATAGATGTTATTACAAACGTCATCGCTAAATCGAAACCCAAATGTACAATAATATATAACAGCCTCTGGTCCAGCTACATACGCAGTCATTTGGTAATCAGGAATATTAGAAGATTGATTTAACGTAACAAAACCAGTGAATGAGAATCCTGGCAGTTCGTAAGGACTGGGTTGTGGTAATGGTTCCGTCAATGTATCCATATTTTGAACCATAATAATACCAACATGATCCTGTAGATTTTCTCCTACAGGTAAATTTGAAACCACATGAATGTTTTTGCATTTCAAATGTTCTTCTGGTCCAACACCAGACAACATTAACAGTTTAGGTGTATTGAATACTCCAGCGGATACAATAACTTCTTTTTTAGCTTTCAGCGTCATCGTTTTACGATCTCCAGTAAGAACTTCTACACCGATAGCTTTTTTGTTTTTGTCAAACAAGATTTTAGTTACCAATGTATTTTTCAACACATGAAGGTTGCGCCGATTTTTGGCCGAAGATATAAATGCATAAGCTGTACTCTGGCGAGATCTACCAGCCAATGTGAAAGTTTGCGCAGCAAATCCTAGAGGATGGTTTTCATTAAAGTCGAGGTTTATGTCATTTCCAAGTTCTCGGAAAGCATCTAAAAAGTTATTTATTCGTTCGCGATGATCTCTGGATATCTCTAATAATCCATCAGTGCCATAATATTTTTTGTCAGCTGACTGAAGAATTTGTGGATCGTTAGTCTTGATTGATTTCATGAAATAAGGTAGAACGTTCTTCCATTTCCAGGAGTCATCTTTGGTGACTTCGGCCCAAGAGTCGTAGTCACTAGGTTGTCCTCTATGATAAACCATGTAATTCAGCGAGCCACTTCCACCAAGCATTTTGCCCTGTGTAATTTCGTACTGTGGGTTAAGATGACAAGAATCTTCCAGTTCATCCAACTCTGCTGTATAGTTCCAGTCGTAGCGAGATCGTTTAATTAGAAGTGGAAGGCCAGGCAGCTGAAATATAACAAATGTGATTGGTAAAGCAACACACTACACGTCAAAAACTTGTGAACAATAAGTTATAACTAATAAATGTCTATTTTCGACAACAGCTCTATTACCCAAAAGTGGCACATCGTTTGCCGGTCCGCCGTGAAAGAAAAACAAACATACAATTTCCCATTTATAATATTAGTATAGAAGTATGCATTATTCCTAACTTTATTGTAACTTAATACAATTAAATGGGATAAATCACCGATGAAGTGTTAGTATTTGTGTCTTTATGTTGATATGATATAAACTCACATCTGATTCAAAAGGTGGATCGCCACCAGCTTCAATGAGCAGAACATTGATGTGCTCGATTTCTGAGAGTCTGTTGGCAATGACGCTTCCTGCAGTACCACCGCCGACAACTATGAAGTCGAAACTAGCTTTATCTGTGAAATATATTAAATTATTATTATAAATAACATTGTCTGTGTTTACCAGTGCTTCCAATGGCTACATCATGTCTTTATGCAAAGGGGTCATTTTGATTATGAATAGCTACATTGATTTATTGACATACAATTGCTGCACGGTTGGCGTGGTGGTTCGGTAACTGACTGCCGCGCAACGTGTCGCGGGTTCGATTTCCGCACGGAACAACTCTTTGTGTGATCTACAGATTGTTGTTCCGGGTCTGGGTTTCATGTGTATGTGAACTTGTATGTTTGTAAACGCACCCACGACACAGGAGATAATTAATCCTAGTGTGAGGCAATGATTAAACAAAAAATGTACTTAAATTTGTATTAGACCGCAAAACCCTAATGATTTCATTAGGGTTTGCAGCATGTATAAATGACTGTTTAATTTTTAACTGATTTAAAAAGAAGATAGAGTGATATATACATATAGTACATACGTACTGTACCTATATTTCTTTGTGCTCAATCATCTCGCAATTGGCTCGATTTTGATGTAATTTTTAGAAAAGTGTTTGTTATACTTAGGAAAAGGTTTTAGTATTTTAATTACATTGCAGCATTACATTGTACAGTGGCATTAAGTGCCGTAATGTACACCTCTGGTTGGTTATCGCAGATAAAAGGCGTGTTGTTATGTTATGTTATTTTAATTAACCATTGGGGTAAACGTGTCCTAAAGTGAAGACCTCGTATAGGCAAACGTAGTGTAGGATGCCCTCCAATCAATAGCTATTGATCAATCAGCTTCAGAAGATCAGTTCTATCGCCACACCCATGAAGTAAAACTAATAGAACAGAAAAAACAATACTCACCACGAACATTAGCTTGATGTGGCCATAAGTACTCAGTGAGGTTCAAAAATGCCAATATTCTGAATGCATTTTGTAATATCTCTAATATTTTAAAAGCGCCTGCAGCATTCATTGTTTTCTGTAGAACGTACAATTAATATTAATTTATTTATTGTTAATTGATAAAACCTACATAAACCTACATAGATACATCATGATGATACATGATTTCAAATAACTTATGTGCATTAGCTTTCAAACAAGTAAAAAACCAACATAAATTAAACTTGAAATAAATAATTTAATTATCATTCAGAATATCTTGAAAAATTAAAATATTAATGCGAATTTTATAATTATAATTTTTTTACAAAAAAACCGAAACCAAAATCAACTAAGAAGTAAACAGTTACTTGTTTTGTGAAATTAAATTAAAGCTTTAAACGAGATAGACGTGCTAGATAACAGAAAACGTTTACCGACAACAGTGATATTCAATTATATACTTACTATTAAATAACAATAAATGTCTATTTTGATTATACTCACTTGTGTCGAGTCTGCTGCCCAAACAATCTGCCTCTTCGAACGCTAGATACTCAATACACGTGAGAAATTATGTTAATATACTTATATACCGCACAAAACTCAATGTTACCGTAAAACAAACTAACACGATATAAATCAAAACAATCTCATTTCAACGAAGACAATACAATGTAACTTCTAACGTGGCTAAGGCCTTGTATGTGACGGAATCAACATTCAACTAATTCCCAAACAATAATAATTAATTTGTCTATTTACGCAGTTAGAGTGGTTACGTGTGCAAACTCCAAAAAAAACAAAAAGAAATATTTAAAAAAAAGGTATACTTAAGTGTTTTTGATTTCTTTCTTTAACTCGTCGAGTACCGGTTTTATAGACACAATTAAAGAACAATAGGTCGCGGTCACCGGTGACCGCTTGGTGTTTGACAGTTTAAATATTCGATAAAAGTATCTATTATCTAGTATCCGGTATCTAGTATCTTCATATGAATGTCTCGGTTAACTAAAGTTCGCGGTTTAGTCACATGAATATACTGAGAAAAGCTCTACTAGTTTCGTACTGTTTTGTGTTAGTTTTCACTGTTTCATCTACTAGTTTAGCCTACTGTAGGCTGCGCGACATCGCCGCAACCGCGCACGCTGCTTATGAGAAAAAACCCCTGTGTGGTTCGAAGCTAGTAGAGCTTTTCTCAGTATATTTACGTGAGTAACCCGCGAGTTTTAGTTAATTTAGTATATCTCACGATAGTTATTATAAAAACAATGTCTGGGTTATCGAAATTACTAGAAAATTAAATATATGATATTTATAATTATCATTGAATAATTTATTTATGTGATACTTTGTGACATTTTGTCTTCCTGCTTGTTTGTGATACATAATAATATTATTGTCATATATAAGGAGACAAAAGGCAAACGGTCAGAAAAGTCGTTGAATATTTCAATATAGTAGGTATAACTATTAAATAGAGATACCTCCTTCTTCTCTATGAAGTGACTAATAACTCCTGTGCGGTATTACCTGTTCTACTCAGCTCTTATTGATTGCAGCACAATATTTTATAGACTTCCTCGATAAATGCACTAGCCAACACAAAAATTATTATTCAAATCGGTCCAGTAGTTCCGGAGATTGGCGCGATCAAACAAACAGACTCTTCAGCTGAATTTTAAACTGCTATTTTCAATTCGAACCCATAAACTGGTTCCTACAGTGAACGTTATTTATTAATTTAAGGTCAACCAACAAAGCATACATCAAAATACATGATAGGTTTTTAACAGATTTTAACATTGTATAGTGTAGTCTTAATTAAAGGCTGCCACGACATGCGTTATGGCAAATCCTATTAAGTAGAGAGGTCTTTAGTCCAGCTATGAACCACCAAGGGCTGTCTGTAGATGAAGATGACATCATTAGAAAGATAAAGTAATGAAGGCAAATAAAGTAGATACTTATGATTTTTTTAACGGGTGAAATCATCGAATGACTTTTTTCCGCCTGGGTGAGGCGGGAGGAGTGTCAGACTTTTACTGACTAAAAACCACCCTGTTCCTACCTTTCGAGCCGGAGCTCCTGCAACCCGTTAAGTCCCGGCTCCGTATCGGCATCGGCCCTATTGGACCCCATTCGTGGTGGTCTGATGGCTCTTTGAGACGCGTGCGGAACGCGACGCTCCGAACGCTCGGGTAGGTACTTATGATATTTACATTATTAAAGTTGAAACTCACACTACCTAAATAATTTATAAACAAAATAACAAAATGGTTGCATTATAATAAAATCACATCACGTATTTCGTTCCACAAAGAAGCAATAAATAATGTGTTGCAAACACTTTTCATCACTACGTAAATAAAAATGAATATTTGTAAGTATCTAAGTATGTTTTAATTATAACTTTCGTGAGACATGCTAAATTAATTATGTTTTTGGACTATCTCATTTAGGGATAAGTCAGCAGCGCGCCTGTCACCGCGTCCTATGACGCGGAATGCTGCTCATAAATATGAGTATGCCTTGAAAGTAGTCGAGTTCCTCGTCGAATAATTACGTGAGTCGGAAAACATAGTAATTACCGTAGTATGTTTTTGTCCTAAGCAAGTTAAAAGCATTGACGATAATTCAGTGGGGTGTGCCCTTCTTAAAACTGTCTCTATAAATAAAACATCTGTATGAAGCTGAGGATTACTGCTTGAAATTGCAATGTTAATTAGGACATAACTATTACAAGGTATCATCGCCCGTATTGCACGCGTTTTGCTATACTAGTCGTTAGCCATACTTGCATGGTGATACGGCGCCGCGGAGAACCAAACAGGTTACCGGGGCTCCATCTCGAAGTGCAGAAGTAAGAACAGGGTGGTTTTTAGTCAGTAAGAGTCTGACACTCCCTCCCGCCTCACCTAGGTGGGAGAAGTCATTCGATGATATTATTCCCCCCTTAAAAAAAATGGTAACAGTAAATCAATATTCTGTCACTCTCTACCTCTATAACCACATCAAATACGAAAATCACACCACGGGCGTGTTTCATTACACTTTTCTAATAAACTTATGTGGTAGATAGTAGTTCATACAAATAATGTTCTATATGATAACACGGTTGGTGCGGTGGCTGGGCAACCGGCTGCCACGCAACGTGTCACGGGTTAAATTTCCACACGGAGCAACTCTTTGGATGTCCTGTGTATGTGAACTTGTATGTTTGTAAACGCAAACGCACCCACGACACAGGAGAAAATCCTAGGCAACGGTTTAAAAAAAAAAAACAAAAAAAAATATCCAAAATTTGGTACAGACCAGACATTGTGTGCCATAAGTGTGCCCCATTATAACTTAAAAAGATAAACCAGTACTGTTATAATTGTAATATTAGTAGGGAAGTATGTAAGTATGTGTCTTAGAAAGATTACAAATGTCAATTTTGTATAAGTTAATACGAGTATCTATCAAGACTAAGACTTCATATGAAAGTAAGGTCTAGGATACCTATATCTAGGTAGGTCTGCAAGCACTTAAGAGACCTAGTTGAGTTAGGAATGCAATTAAGGCAAGGTGTGTGAGACGAGTGATTTAGGTTAAGTCTGTGTGCAACGAAAGTACACAGAATACTGAGAAAATGGTAGTTCAAAATTTTCCTCATATTAATTGATGTTTATGAAAGTTCCAAGTAGGTACAAATAGAAACATCATGTCAACGTGTACAATTACAATTTATAGATATGTATTTGCATTAAGTAATTATGTTTGAAACGCAATGTTAATTAAACTCGGTAGGTTAAAATAAAAAAACTTTAAACTTTTAAATTATGGCGTGGAATCTCTTGCCATTGATAGATCCAGTATTTTGTTGGTTTACCTAAGAATCAAAACCTTCATCGTTTTTGTCCTGCAACCACTAGGCCAATGAAACGTGAGTCAAATATTATGCATTAAAATGTATACACAGCTCCTCTCACTGGGATTTTCTCTTGAAGTAGGTACTGACTTGTGAGTGCGTAACATTCACAAATACTTTTTTAAAAATAAAACAATAATAAACACAAGAAGTCTAAATTCAAAATCAAAGCATTTGTCTCAATCAATCCTTAATTAATGCAATGTCGTGGTGGCCCGGAGGTTTAAGACGCCCGCTTCTCATGCATGAGGGTGCGGGTTCAAAATCTACAAACGGCAAGCACCAATATGACGTTTTCCGAGTTATATACTTTCTAAGATTATTTAGACACCATAGACAAACGGTGAAGGAAAACATCGTGAGGAAACCTGGGCTTATAATTTCTAATCATAAGTTTGTAATCGCCAACCCGCATTGAGCAAGCGTGGTGATTAATGCTCAAACCTTCTCCGTGTGAGAAGAGGCTTGTTCAGCAGTGGGCTTTTATAGGCTGTTGATGATGAATCCTTAATTAAGCACTTTTAAAACGTCATTAAATAAAGCTAGGCGCTCGTTCTAACATGTAGTTTTGAATAGAAAAAAACGAGCAAAAATTTCATTATTACTCCTTTAAAAAAAATATTATAGTTTTTTTACCTATGCGATGTTCCGTCCACTTGAAAATAATGAAGTTAGGTACTGAAACTAATTGAGTTCTACCCAAATCACATATCCCGGCAGCAGTCCGTTTCTTATTTACCTGGGTTACTGACCTTAAAAACGAATGCTAATTCTTTCAACTACAAACCGTGTAAACTTATATATGCTTGGATCATAAACCCCGACTGACATGGTAACTAAAACAACCATCTAATGCCATTAGAATAGAGTACAATTTCGATTAACTCAGTGACCTTTGAAGGTTGTCATATTCAGCGAGCTCGAGACCCATGGGAGTGGACCCTTTGATTAACATTGATAAGTTTCTAGAAAAACAAACTAGTTTTTATGTTCGTGTAATAGTTGGCCCTGCCTGTGACATTTACTAACCATTTTTCATTTGTAGAACAGAAAATAAATATTATTAAAGTTATAGTAGTTTCGTGTATTTTTGTTTTAAATTGCCTTATTTGTCTTATTTCAGCGTATTTCAATCTAAGTTCTCAACCTTTGCTGTATATATTGTCTATAAGATCTCAATACTATTCATCATCAACAGCTTATAAATGCCCACTGCTGAGTAAAGCCATTACCATGCCATGCAGAAGGTTACATTGCCATGGAGAAGGTTAGAGCATTAATCACCACGCTTGCTCAATGCGTGTTGGCGAATTTAAACTTATAAGCCCAGGTTTCCTCACAATGTTTTCCTTCATCGTTGGTCAGAGGTGTCTAAATAATCTTAGAAAGTACATATAACTCGGAAAAAGTCACATTGGTACTTGCCGTTGGTAGGTTTCGAACGCGCACCCTCATGCATGAGAAGTGGGTGTCTTAAACCTCCGGGCCACCACGACACTCAGACTCTTACTGACTAAAAACCACCCCGTTCCTCCTCCTGCTGTTCGAGCCGGAGCCCCGGCAACCCGTTAAGCCTTCCGCGGCTCATCCATGAGTATCCACCTACTAATAGAATGACACATCCGTACATGTCACTTGTTTTTTATCGTGAAATATTTCTTTCTTTCTTTCTTACTCACGAAAGAAATTTTATGTCAATTTATTTATAAAACTACATAGTAGGCACTTAACTCTTTGAGTACCGTCGCCGTCATTATAGACACAATTAAAGAACAATAGGTTGCGGACACCGGTGTCCTCGCGGTGTTTGACAGTTTAACTCTTTGAGTACCGTCATTATAGACACAATTAAAGAACAATAGGCTGCGGTCATCGGTGTCCTCGAGGTGTTTGACGGTTTAAATAAGTATAGGTAGTAAACATAACTAAAATAGAAAACACAAATTAATAACAAACGAAGTTAAGGGCAAAACACAAATTAATATTATAATTATAAATAATAGTGATATTACTAGACCGCACAATAGTTACATTTATTGTTCATTATCAAGTAAATAGTTTGCACGCCGCTAACGAACCATGCTAACATTGTTTTAATGTGCCAATGACGTCATGAGCAAAATCGGTGGGAAATATCAATTTAAAAATGTAAATAAAATACAATAGATAACTTATTATTCTTCTAATATTTACAATGATTATGTTACTATTGAAACTATAATTATATTCCCATATATTTATTTGAAATACTCATCAAGATACATTTTTAAAAAGTACTCATAAAAGAAGTATACAAAAAAAATTGCTGACCAGTAGTGTGAGCATGGTCCAAGCTATCGGTAGTTAGGGCTCCATATACAGAAACCTCCTCACCATGCGTGCCGTTTCAAGGAGAATTGCCATCTGTATCAAGCCCTTGACCCATCCGCCTAACGCCAGTCTCCTTAGGTCGTTGTCAAGGTTGTTAGGAATTGGCCCATTGGCCGACACAACTATAGGCACAATGATAGCCGAATCCAAATTCCACATGTCAACAACCTCGTCTATATATAAATAAACAAATTGAAATATGTTTATCAAAGCTTTCACGAGATTCTCATCATGGGGAATGGTGAAATCGATTATCACCGATATATTAGATTTAATAGCTACAGTAAACTACTATTATTATTTTAAAATAAAACGTTGCACCAGGATTACGCTCGTTTCCGTTATAAAAAAAAACTTATTACTTACCGTTAGAAATAGTCACGCGTCTATACATGTGGTAATAAAAAAAATCGCTGCGTGATAGTTTTAAATAATATTACCTACTCATATTACGCTACGTTGGTTACATTCTAATCATATTATCTTATATCTTGTCTTATACTTTACTTTTTATTATCGACACTAACATTATAAAGAAGAGAAATTTGTTTTTATTTTGTGTATTTGAATTGAATAGGCTCAGAAACTACTAGACCGATTCGAAAATTTCGTTTATCCCTGATGAACATAAATATTTCATAAGAGAAAAAAGGTAACCATGTGATAATTTCGATTATGAAAACCGTGAAATGTGTGAAAAAACTATCAAAAACCTCCTTATACAGCTTACGCTGTGGAAATAATAAATAATAAAGCAAAGTTATGTAGTAGTCTTAGGACATTCATATCAACGTAAAAGTCAATGATATCACGATGTCTAACTATTGCAGTTATGCGATAATATGTAATTACCTTTTCGTCTCAAAATGTGCAGTAGTAACATCGCACCGCGGCTCCGCTAAAAAACAGGCCTCATTATTAGTACTAGAGTATCCCAGAATTATCAGTATAAAGGGAACTATGAGTTAAATCCCAGGACTCTATATACTTAAACTACTGAAACAATTTTGAGAGTAATTCAGTACGACCATAGTTTTAAAACACACGGGGCGGACACTATACTATTTTAAATTATTATAAAGTACTATTATTATTCTATGTTATATATATATGTAGCATATAGCTACGAGCAAGTGTTAAAAATCAGCGCCGTGACTTGATCTTTTGCGAACGGGTCAAGGCATTTAAGCTGAGCTATTTAAAAAAACAAAATACGTTAAAACCTACGACAAACACGACCGACACGAACGACACGACCGACACGACCGACACGACCGAAACGACCAACATGACCGACACGACAGACACGACTGACACTACAGATGCGACAGATGCGGCGGGCACGACCGACACGAGCGACACGACAGATGGGACAGGCACGACAGACAGGACCGAGGCGGCAGATGCGACCGACACGACAGATGCGACAGATGCGACCGACATGACCGACACGAGCGACACTACAGATGCGACAGACACGACCGACACGACAGATACGACAGATGCGACCGACACGACAGATACGACCGACACGACCGACACGACAGATACGACAGGTGCGATCGACACGAAAGATGCGACCGACACGACCGACACGACAGATGCGACCGACACGACAGATGCGACCGACACGACAGATACGACATATGCGACCGACACGACAGATGCGACCGACACGGCAGATGCGACAGATGCGGTAGACACGACCGACACGACAGATACGACAGACACGACCGACACGAGCGATACGACAGATGCGACCGACACGACAGATGCGACAGATGCGACCGACACGACAGATGCGACAGATGCGACCGACACGACAGATGCGATCGACACGAAAGATGCGACCGACACGACCGACACGACAGATGCGACAGATGCGACCGACACGACAGATACGACCGACACGACCGACACGACAGATACGACAGGTGCGATCGACACGAAAGATGCGACCGACACGACCGACACGACAGATGCGACAGATGCGACCGACACGACAGATGCGACCGACACGACAGATGCGACCGACACGACAGATACGACATATGCGACCGACACGACAGATGCGACCGACACGGCAGATGCGACAGATGTGACAGACACGACCGACACGAGCGATACGACAGATGCGACCGACACGACAGATGCGACAGATGCGACCGACACGACAGATGCGACAGATGCGACCGACACGACAGATGCGACAGATGCGACCGACACGACAGATGCGACCGACACGACAGATACGACCGACACGACAGATGCGACAGACACGACCGACACGAGCGACACGACAGATGCGGTAGACACGACCGACACGACAGATACGACAGATACGACCGACACGACAGATACGACAGATACGTCCGACACGACCGACACGACAGATACGACAGATACGACAGATACGACAGTTGCGATCGACACGAAAGATGCGAACGACACGACCGACACGACAGATGCGACCGACACAACCGTCATGACAGATGCGACAGATTCGACCGACATGACAGATACGACCGACACGACAGACACGACCGACACGACAGATGGGACAAATGCAACGGACACGACAGACATAACAGACCCTTTTTTGTACAATATAATACAGATTCCTGAAAAGCCAACCTTGTCAAAGTCTGTAGTACCAATTGAAATGAACTGTGTGATCTAAATCAGGAAATACACTCAAATATACAAATAGAATAAAACAATATATTGAAGCACAATACACATATACATATACAGATAAATTAAAGTGTCTGTTTGTAATATTCAAATGGCTTTTTAGTCGCGGAGAACCTAACGGGTTACCGGGGCTCCGGCTCGACGTGCAGGAGAAGGAATGGGGTGGTTTTTAGTCAGTAAGAGTCTGACGCTCCCTCCTGCCTCACCCAGACGGGAGCAGTCATTCGATGATTTCCCCCTTAAAAAATATATATGTATTTACATCCTGGAATCATTTTGGCGTCACACACGTCGCGCATCATTACGACGTCCCCCAGTTCCCCTTAATTTTTTTCATATGTCTTGATGAATATTGCTTAGTTATTCGATTTCCAGCTTTGTAGGATACGTCATTTTCCGATAATTTTATTTTTCGCGATATTCTTCTTGCAGTCATGCTGCAACATTTTTGAACCCCAAACCATCGTGATAACTAATTGGGCTCCTAGATATATTGATCGTGATTTAACCATGGCTTCGGCTAATTAACGTCCTCACAGCGTGGATGGTATTTGCGAGTGCAACGTTGCCAGCTTTGCGTTCACTTGTCTCTTTCTTTTCCTCTCTCTTGTCACTCGTCTGGGACAGAGTTTTAACAGTATTACAATATTCGTAAAATCTATCAATACATATACTAATGCCCGATATTAGTATAATATTTGTAACAAGATGCAAAAAAATGAGGTTTCTATGAGATTTTTACATGAGAAGATGCAGTAGGAATAATATATTTTTTAAATGTTTGCCTAGTCTATTCCATACATAAATACAAATCGGTTCAGCCCGTGTGATCGGCGCGGCGTACCGGTTTTACAAATTTATCTAAAGAAAGAAACTCAGAACTCAATTTTTATTTCAAAGTAAGCAAGAGTAAAATAAGTGAAAGTTTCTTCCCCAGCGGTCATCATGTAAGATCATCTATAACTGTG